TCTTTTATACTATACTTTATTATATTATACTTATACTTTATTTACGAATTATACTTAATTATATCTGATTTCTATTTAGTTTTATAGTTATTTATAATTTTTACTTCCTAATATTAATAAATGGCTGTCATTCTCTTTACAGTAAATTAATCTTTTATTCTTGGTGGAGATAAGGACAGTCTGTCCGGTGTATCCCCCAGTAGTGGACTTTTAGGTCTTTCTTCCGCAATTATCGGTGTATCCACATAAAATGTACTTCGACTTGTTGGTATAGGGTGTGGAACTGTGGAGTTATATAATATCGTGGTTTAATCGGCTCCCAAGTGTTTAATCTACACTTATACGTTATATATATAAATAACAATAGTACTGTCGCAAAGGTCATCAATCCTATATTATATATTATATATTATATATATCAAGTAATTATTATTTTCATTATCTTTCACATGTCCCGATTGCCTAAATATGTCCGGAATGTCCGAGTCCCCATGGGCTGCCATTACGATCATTAATCTATAATATTACATTGTCTTATTACTATTTTGGGTTTATACCTATTTATTTATGCAAATATCTTCTTTTTATTATTATTCCATTTCCTCGCTTATTTAATACTTATATCTATACCTAATTTCACTAATTGCGTACTACTCTATTATTACTTATGTTTACCACTTCTTCTTTATACAATATTTAACTACAGTAAAACCTCGTTAAGACACTCCCGTTTAATACGCCATCCCGCTTAACACGCGGATTTTTCCCGGTCCCAAGTAATTGTACACTTTTAACATTGAAAAAAAGACGCTTAATACGCCACCGCATATTACGTAATCCCGCATAATACGCTCTAATTGCTGGCTTCTCAAACATTTTAAAATAGAAAAAAACCCAATTAATACAATCAGCGATAAGAATTTCGTTGAAACGTTTATCTATTATCGACCGAGTAATTGATATTTATTATTAACATCTTGATGTGGTTTATACTCTTACTATATGTATTTCGTTAGTACGTACGTACGTTAGTTATATGATCGGACGTTGAAGTGTACACGTGAAATCACACGCAGATTTATAATTTGTATGTTTTGTTTATTKTTATTCGTGTGTGGTTTAAAATGACGAGTGCGTCTACGTCATCTAGTAGTGCCGGAGTGAAAAGGAAAGCTTTGTCTATTGACGATAAATTGAGAATTATTAAACTGTATGATGAAAAAATTGGTGTATTCAATAAACAACAAATTGCCGACCAATTAGGATTGCCCTCCTCTTCGTTGCGGACCATATTGAAGAACCGGAAAGAAATTGAAAAAAACGCTTTTTCAGGCAGTACGAAACGTCAAAAGGTTAGAAATGGTAAAAATGAGCAGTTGGAAAATATTTTGTTGGAGTGGTTTCGACAAGCTCGCACATTAAATTTGGCTGTAAATGGTCCCGTTTTGACAGAAAAAGCAAATGAGATCGCAAAAAGGTTGAACATAACGGACTTTGGTGGATCTAATGGTTGGCTTGATCGTTTTAGAAAAAGGCACGGTATTGTCTATCGTAAAATTTGTGGGGAAGCCGATGCTGTAGATGACAACAGTATTAAATCGTGGAAAGAGACAATTCTACCAAATTTGTTGAAAGATTATTCACCCGAGGATATATACAATGCTGATGAGTTTGGCTTGTTCTTTAAATTGATGCCAGATAAGTCACTTGAGATGA